TTATCTTTGTTGGGTTTTATAAAGTCGACATTCTTTTTGAGCATTTCAGTGAGAACATCATTTTTAAAATATCCAATAACAAAACAATATTGTTATTTTGTATTATTTTTCTAGTGTTGCCCTTTGACAATTTTGACTTATGCCTGTCAAAATTATCAAACATTTGCTGTAATTTTTGGTGTTTTTGGAACTCTTTATTTCATTATTTTTTATTCAGAGAAGATAACCACATGTTTGTTTTTAATTGAAAATATTTTTTTAACGAGAGTAATATTCAGTTAAAACTCGACACGAACAACACCATCCAAATTCACTTAAACGTTCATTGTTGTGCTTTTATGCCAACAATGATGTGTATATGTCGTGAAGTATTGAGTTATGGTCAAATCAAATAACGGGATCGGGTTTTTTGGAAAAAGATGGCTAATATTCCGATATTTTCCCGAATATGTACGAAAATAATTGAACGGTATTGGTATTTTTTTCAAAATAAAGTCGGTACTTTCGATTTTTTGTTTTTTGTTTTTTTAGGAAAAAACAAAAATAAAAAACGGGACTTTAGAAAGTTCTAAAAATATGACAGTACAGACTTTTGAAAAACAGTTTATGTTTTGGGTTCGACCAAACTATTTTCAATGAAAGAAATGTTTGTGATATTAAATAAACAAATTGATCCAAATCCAACATCAACCGATCAAATTGTATTTACAGATGAAGAAAAAGAATTGTTATTATATAGTGATAAAGAAATAATTATTTTGGGGAAAAAAGAATAATTTACTTTTATTCGCCAATCAACGATACTACTTATTTATGGCACTTTCAAAACGGGTCCAATTTTGTTATTTAATTGTATCTAAAAAATAATTCAGATGATATTACATTTTGTTTAACAATCAACTTCTATTATTATTTATAATATTGATATTGATATTGATGTTTATTACAATATATTAAACAATTTTAACATTAAACATAAAATAATATATATTGTAAGAATAAAATATATGTTATTTTTAATTAATTATATAATAGTGTATAATGTAAAAATTGTTGTATATTGTATATTGTATATTGTATTTTGTATTTTGTATATTGTATATTGTATTTTGTATTTTGTATTTTGTATTTTGTATTTTGTATTTTGTATTTTGTATTTTGTATTTTGTATTTTGTATTTTGTATTTTGTATTTTGTATTTTGTATTTTGTATTTTGTATTTTGTATTTTGTATTTTGTATTTTGTATTTTGTTTATTGTAAAATATGATAATAATATATTATATCATTATTCTGATTAAAATAAAATTAAAA